CACCCTTACAATCTTTAAAGACACACACATTGTCGACATATTTTATTTGACCTTTTTTTCTCAAAAATTGTATTTTCCTCTTTTGTCTGACTTACTGATTTTCTTCTCCAAGATGTATTTTATAGAAATACACAGACGTCTTCCATATTTCCTCATGTCCAATTTTTGTCTCCATTTAGCATGCAGGTCAAAAATGCTTTCTTGCAGATTGGTCAGGTTTTAGTAACTTGCCTCCCAGAGCACTATCGCGGCTCTTCATGAAATGACAAATGTCTTTGGAATATTCCAAATTAGGCATTCAGACTCACTGAAACCAGGCAATCGACTGGCTCCAAATCAGACACTGTTTGTTTTGTAAAATTAGTTTATGAAGGTCATTAATGGGCTGCTGGTTGAGGACATCCAAATACATCCATCAGGGAGGAATATCTGTGACTCCCACTTCCACCCTCGTGAGGGCAATCTGCACAACCTCGGGTCTCTTCTATCACCCAGCCTTCTGACCCCGAAGCTACACGGGATCCACCATTGCATGAAACGCATAATGTGTTCCTATCTTTCCCATGGGTTTTTGGCAGCATTCCAGAAAAGAACAGCTCATGACCCTCTCTTTTGAGCCACAGAAATTTCCTAGAATTCACCACAAGTAAAATGTCCTTGGCCCTGAAAGGCTGATCCATCTCTGAACCAAGGAAGTGGAGAAATTTAGGTGAATGATTCCCCTGATACTTACCTCAGTCACCCTGATAACCTTTCTCACTTTCAGCTTTTATATGGTGGTGTCTTCTGGCTAAATGGAGGCTGCTTTCAAGATCACAGTATTGGAGTTCAAATAAAAGGCTAATTTGAATTAACCTCTATCTAGTTAATGTTTGAGGTGGACCGATGTCTGCAACTTACTCTGAACGCACCAGAAAATAACAACAATGGTAAGAATAGTAATAGCAGTAGAAACAGTAAGACCAATAATGTGGATTGATGGATGGGTAGAGAGATGGATACACAGATATATGACAAAGCCAGTTTAGCAAAATCTAGATGGTGGTGTATGGGTACAATTTGTACTCACGATACAAATTCTTTTAACTTTTCTGTATTTTGAAATTTCCCATGATAAGCTTTTGGTAAAGACCATTTGAATCAAAGTGGGAATCATGGCCGGAAGGGTTCCATGAAGATACTTCCTTTGATATGTTGGAGAAATGTGTGTTTTACTCTAGTTTAACTTTTATAGGATTTGTTCTTTCCATACTAATCAAATAAAACTTGAAAATGTAAAAAAAAAAAAAAAAAAGATACCTCCTTTGCCTACTTTCTTCACTTCCAACTCTGGCATCTGGTATGCAGTCCAGTTCAGTGAATGTCTGTTGAATTGAGCTGTTGAACTTAATTCCAAGCTACCAGGTCACTTCCACAGCTGGCAAGATTCTTCTAGAGCATGAGCTGGCAAATTTTTTTCTGTGAAGGCCAGATAGTAAATATTTGAGACTTTGTGGACATAAGGTCTCTGGTACAACAGCTCCGCTAAGCAGCGACGCACAATACATCACGAATGGTCATGGCTGTGTTCCCATAAATTTGATTTACAAAAACAGGTGGTGGTCATAGTTTGCCAACCCCATCTTAGCCCTCAAATCCTTACCTTCCACTAAAAAGTGAGAGTAAAATTGACAGCATGCAAACAGGCTCTGTAAAGATTTCATTCATTATCGGGAAAGGGGCTAACAAAAAGAAACAACAAACCTTTTCATGTCCACCTCCAGCCCCCACTTACCCATCTCCTCTCATAAGGACCAAGTCTAACTCTTCCACCATTAAGCCCAAGGTTTAATAGGCAAGCATTTCTAAGAGAGGCAATACATTAACGTTCCAGCCCCATAAGCGTAGACTCTTCACATCCGATCCCAACCTCCAAGTAGATCATCTTGGCACCAGGGGAATAAATGCAGGAGGTTACAGAGGGACGCCCCCAGGGAAGAGATGCCCATGGAAAAAGCTCAGGCCGTAGAGAGAGACGCTATTGGAGCCCTTGGGGCTTACTCTTTAGTAAAAGCAGAAAGGTAATAAATAAATGAATCATGCAGCAGGTTTTAAGGTGTTAAGCACCGTGGAGAAAGATGAAGTAGAGCAGAGTAAGGGCCATTGGCAGGCTGGGTGGAGTGAGGTGGTAGCATGAAACAAAGTGGTCCAGGGAGGGCTCATTAGGAAGATGCCATTGGAAGCAGAGCCCCAAGATGAGCCAATGAACCAGGCAGATATCTGTGACAGTCTGCCAACCAGAGGAAACCACCAATGCAAAGGCCCTGGGGCAGAGAGTGCTCAGAATATTGTAGGAGGAGCAAGGAGGCCAGCTTTCGGAGGGGCAATGTGAGGTAGAAGAATCACAAGATGAGGTTAGAGACAGTACTGGTGGACCAGAAGAGGGGGGACGAAGGGAGAGCTCAGACTGGAGCAGTGGCAGGATTCGAGTTACATTGAAAAGAATCACTCCGGCTAGCCAGTGGCCAACAGACCTCCAGGAGCAAGAGCAGAAGCAGGGAGAGAAGTCAGGAGGCAAGGGCAACATTGCAGACGAGGGTCGGTGGCGAGTTAGACCAGCAAGTAGCAGAAGAGGCGGTGAAAAGTGGCCACATTTGGGATATATTCTGAAGAGAGAGCTCACCACATCCTGTGAAGGACTGGATGCTGGGGGTGAAGGAAGGGGAAAAGGCAAGGGTGATTCCACATTCTTTGGCCTGAGCAGCGGGAAAATTTGTGTTGCTGTTGTGTGAGAGGGGACGACAATGGGAGAAGGTAGTGGGGGGGGAGGGGGCGGGTCAGTCGGGAGGTCGGCACTGGGCATGGTGAGCTGGACATGTTTATTAGACGTTCCAAGCAGAGATGGACAAGGTGACAGTCAAATGAAAGTCTGGAATTCAGGGGAGAGGAGCTAGCTGAAATTTGGAATCCTAAGCATATAGATGGTGTTTTAAAGCCACGAGTCAAATGCATTTTTTTAAAGTGAGAAAACACAAAGGTCAGCCAGAAGCCAGAAGAGGCTCTCTTGTGCTCTCTCTCTCTCCCTCTTTCTCTCTCTCACACACACAAAATGGATCCCATCAGGTTCTTTCTTGCGCTAAAGACAAGCGCTAGGACTCCCAAGGGAACAAACTTGCTTACGTCATGAAGTCAAATTATCTCACGCACCCCGGCAGAAGCTTGTTGCCTGCTAAAGGCTTGCAGGAACAAGCTTTAGAGCACGTTCCTAAGAGTCTCACCTGGCACAGGTGACAATGTAGACTGTCGTGTTTATTAAATTAAATCATGTAAATTGACATAGCAGGTTGCCACAACAAGTTAGAATGAAACTGAAGACATGGAAAATACAGAGCCGAAGAAAGGTCCGGGAGAGGTGGCAGAGGAAGCGAATGAATAGAATAAGTCAACAAATCTGTGACATTTGACTCAGAGGAAACCACTCCTCCCAGCTGCCCTTGAGTGTTTCAAGGCCCAAGAAGGGATGGGAATCCTAAGATTGTGCCCAGGTGTTTCCAGGGTTCTACTGCTTCCTTCTCCCCCTCCCCGAAATGTACTCTTTATTCTAGAATTGACCTTCTGCCATGCTACCATGTTTAGACGGTGGAGTAAATACAAATCGCCGTGTGGGAAAGGGAGTTAATTAGCAGTGTGGAATTCATTTATTTGGCCAAGTCGCTGTGCCACGGGTACTCTGCTTCACCCTGAGTTTCTTGAACGATTGCCTACTTTATTTCCAGAGACCGAAGAGCTATTTGGGGTCCATCAGTGGCTCATTTGCTATCAGGGTGTAAGCTCCCCTCTTGGGAATTCTTCTGAGGGACTCTTTGCCCCTTCCCAAATTCCAGTTTCAAACAGAAACATTGACAGTAGCTCTGTAAGCTATTTTTCACACACTCTACTGTAATTAAACCTTTCCTTGGGGTTCTGCCTCCACTAGACATAAGGCCCCTGAAGATGTGGGCAGTCCCTGTTCTGTTGACTTCTGTCTCCGGCCCCTAACAGAATGCTTAGCACATGGTCGGTGCTCAAGAAGACTTGACTGAATGACGAGAAAATAGAAGTGATGCTAGTCCTGTGTCCACTCAAGAGGAGACCTCTTTGAAAGTCAGTAGCTTCGCTCTCCTCTGCCAACCCGAGATTTCGTCACACCATGGATGTTTCCAAGTAAGTTAAAGTAGCCGGCCATGTATGAGTTAATACGGTGTGTCACTGCATACCAAAAGGATGATTGAAGCTCCGGCTGTGGATAGCAGAGCCTCAAAGAATTCGTCAGGTTCATCACATAGGACGAGTCCGTGTGCACCAGAGAAGAGGGTGGCATGAGGAAAGCCAAAAGTTGCGACCCTGTCATAATGACGTCGAGTGACAATCACACTTTTTCCTTGCAAGCGTGGTGCCTGCTCCTGGAGCCAAAGCGATCTCTTTTCCACTTCTGGATTTCTTAATAATCTAAGGTGTGGACATGTGCTCCTTCTCGGTCATATTAACTGTCCTTCTCTGCCACAGTTCCTGCAGCGTCCCTTCGTCCAGTGTTGAGTTGAAGCTTTCATTGCTTATTCTCTGCGCTCTTTGGCGTTACCTCATGGTTTCCTGATTCGTGAGAGAAGTCAGCGTCAGAAGTGGGGTTTTGCCGAGCTATTTTCTGGTCCTTTGCAGCCCAGAGCTCTATAAACAAAGGCAGGGTTATCACATGTCCCCGAGGGCTGCCTGGGAAAAACACGAGCTGTGGTTATCAAAATTGGAACCTTTATGAAATAGGCTTTTGTCTCCGTTTTTGTTGCATTCAATCAGATCAACAAGTGTTGGCTAAGTGTTGATCGTGGTTTCCTGTGGGATTGTGTAAGGCCCTTGCAGGACAATAAACGTTTTGGGGGCACTGAGTAATGTAGCCATTTCTGACCCAGCAGCCGGGAAAATGTGAGACATTCGCTGCTGCGGCTGGAAGGAGGGCAGCTGGGGCTTGTGTTCGGGCAAGAGCAGAGGAACCGCAGCGCGGGGGACCCGGCGGCGGATCGAGCCAGAATGGTGCGTTGCGGCGGCAGGTGGCCACACGATGTCATATCCTCCAGGCAAATAGGTTCAGAATGACGAATATGAAATAGCTGGGGCTCCTCCGGGGACTTTGGATGAGACCATGTAATTTGGAGGCCTGCGACGGTTTTACTGCCAAGTCCTCCCCCAGCTCAGCAACCTCGCTCAGGCAGGCTGTCAGGTTGTGTGTCTGTATGGCCGTCAGCTCCGGCGGGCTCAGCGCAGTTTCCTCTGCTGCTTTTCTCCAGCCTCGTCCGCAGGCATTGCCCTTCCGCGACTTTGCATACTGGCTTCCTGACTGCTTCCAAAAAGACACAGAGATGTTCCTCTTACCCGCTTTTATTTAATCTGTGTGTTTATGGTGTTACTTTAACTACAAATATTTGTTCTCAGGTTCCTGAAGGCTTCCAACGTCTGGGGTTTGGGGGGATTTTAGGTGGCGATGGAAAGATGGGGGAGGTGAAGCTTTCAGGAACAGCCACGGCCAGATAATGTTGAGAGTTCTTGCGGACCAGGACAAGTTCACTGGATTTAAGAAGGAGTGCGCGTGTATCGCGGTCTAGGTCAGGGCTTTCCAAACTCTCATGAGCACACGAGGCACCTGGGGAATCTCGCTAAAATGCAGATTCTCAGGGTCTGGGGTGGGAACCGAGCGTCTGCATTTCTCGCAAGCTCCCGGGCTACGCTGATACCGTCGGTCCGTGGACCACACCTGCAGTGACATCCACGTATTGATTTGTAAGAAACCCAGTGGCACAAGAACACAGTCAGTCAGGGGCTGGTTCACCCTGAATCTAAGGTAAACCGGCCCAGGACTGAAAGCTTGAAACCGACGTACAGGGCAGGGGCTTGCGGACAAGACTGCCACACACCGCCCCCCCCCCCCCCCCCCCCCGCCCCGTGCTCTCCCATCCCCAGGACCTGGGGAAGAGGGATGAGAACTGAGATTTTTATCATCAAGGCTCGTTTCATTCTCTTCAGTTTTTTAACCTTTCCTATGGTCTTTTTTTTTTTTTTTTTTAACTTTACCTAGGGAGTGATGAGGGGAAGGGGTACAGAATTGGGGAGTATCTGCGAGCGTGCTAGGCATCATACTGCCGTTTTCTCTCGACTCCTACTGACCCTTCGAGGTGGTTACTGTTTTACTCCCTTTACGGATGGGGAAGATGGGCTTTTGCAAGGTTAAGTAACACGCCAGGTTGCACAGAGCTGGAGCAGGGATTTGAACCCACCAGCTGGGCGCTTCTCCCCTGACCAACCTCTATCACCTAAGCAGTGCTGTGTGTTACTAATTCAGCATAAGGTATTAGGACATGGCTTTATCACCTTTTGCTTTTTTCCTAACCACTCCATAAGGTGACTGAATTACGACATACCCCATAGGATGGGGTGGGGGTGGGGGGTTAGGCCTACCCCACAGAGTAAACGAATGCATATTTTTTCTTTTCAAAGGTTTTATTTATTTGCTAGAGAGAGAGAGAGAGCACAAGCAGGGGGAGCGGCAGGCAGAGGGAGAAGCAGGCTCCCGGCTGAGCAAGGAGCCCGATGTGGGACTTGATCCCAGGACCCTGGGATCATGACCTGAGCCAAAGGCAGCTGCTTAACCGACTGAGCCACCCAGGCGCCCCACAAATGCATATTTTTAAGGTGCTTTAAATAGTGCCTGGCATAACGCAAGCCCCCTTTAAATGTTAGCTAGGATTATTATTGCTACAATCACTCATATCCTTCAAGGTCCAGTTTTAATGTCCTCCCTTCTTTCTTGATTATCTTAAGAAAAAGAAACAACTTCCCTTCCTTGGGCCATTCAGAGCAAAGAGAACATGGGCTCTGCTCTAGCATTTCAGGTGTTCCTTTCCCTCCTTTTCTTTTTTAGTCGTGGTTCAGTGCCCATTGTGTGCCCAGAACTTTGACATAAGCTTTCTCATTCATGTCCCGTTAAAGTTGAGAGAGCTATATAACCCATCTTAATATATCCGGATCAGAAAACTGAAGCTTAGCGCAGGGAAGGGGTTCGGTCAGGGTGACCCAGCTCATAAATGACAGCCCTGTAACTTCCTCCATGCCTCCTGAGTCCGCCGCCCTCCGGCCACCTCGCACGTTAATAAGCCATGAAACCTATCTCTCAAGTCTGCTCCTTGTCACTTGGGCAGTGGAGAGCTGATCCTCGTTTCTGGAACCACTCACTCGAGGTCCGGAGAGCTGATTCTCGTTTCTGGAACCACTCACTCGAGGTCCGGCACGCTGCAGGCTCAAAATCAAGTGTGCTGGAGAGACTTGCAGAGTTGAACTCCTTACTCTCCTCATAATATTTCCTTACAAATGCTAAGTAACCATGGAGATTCCAAGTCACGTTAATTTAGCATTCACCTCTTACTCATGTTATGGGTTACCTGACGGTTGCTGGCTCCCCTAGAGAAAATACTATATTGGTCTCTGACAGTATTTTTGGTTTTGTTTTTTGTTTTTGCCTCCCCTGCACTTTAATCTCTTTCTAGTTTCTTGTGCTTATGGAAATAGGCAGCCTGGGCTATTTGGTAAGCAAATTGATGTATCTACTCCATGTAGGTGGTAATATGAGAGCCCAGCCAAATTCTGCTGGCTCTTCTATGGAAATAGATTTCTGGCTAATACTAACGAGCTTTAGGATCTCATTTCATTTTTTAAAAATATTTTAAAGATTTTATTTATTTATTCATAAGAGACAGAGAGAGAGAGAGAGGCAGAGGCAGAGGGAGAAGCAGGCTCCCCACCGAGCAGGGAGCCCAACACGGGACTCGATCCCAAGACCCTGGGACCATGACCCGAGCCGAAGGCAGATGCTCAACCATCTGAGCCACCCAGGCGCCCCTCTCATTTCATTTTAAAAGTGTTTTTTTAGCCTTCCCAACTGAATATACCTTATATGTGGGCAGGCAGAACCGAATTTGTTAGCCGTCGGGCAGGCATTTGAGTCAACAGTGGTACCTGAGCCTGTCGACTTATCGTCCTGATACAGGGAGGCAATATTACATTTCTAAAAATTAGTCATCACTCATTATCTCTTCCTATACCAAGGGAGACCATAGAAATGCCTTCATTTTAGAATCTAGGCTAATGTAGGAGAAGAGTACAAGGAAGCGATAGAAGCAAACAGAAGTAGAAAGGCAGGTCCAAACTGGAGCAGGAACCAAGGTACTGTCCTAGAAGAAACTGATCTGGATGAGACCAAAGCGTGAGTCATCAAAACGGAGTTCTTCAAGTTCGTTAGGAAGCTCCGGGGGCCAGCTGAGGGAATAGAACTCTGAAGGTCTCCAAAGACATGTGTCCCCAGGTGTGTGTTACATGAGAACAACAGATTACAGACCTATCTGCACAGAGTATGAGCTCATGTTTGTGAAAATAGACACATGCACATATATATTCGGAAAAATCTAGAGGTACATTCACCAAGATGTTAACAGGTTTTTTTTTTTCTTTTGCTTGTTGGTAGTTCTTAATTTTGTAGAATAAACACACATCACGTCTGATTTTAGAAATGAAAGCCAAAAAATTCACAAAAGGCAGAGCTTTGGAATGAACAATTTTGTCGAAATTTGACAAATTATATTGCATCAGATGCAACAACAGGAATGAAGCCCTGGAGATTGACAAGAGAATGTGCTTGAGGACTTGGTATCCTCCTTTCTAGCCAACATTCTTCTTCCCTTCAATATACAGAAGCAACCTTGTGAATTTCATTTGTCAGTGGTGTCTGTGACTCGCCAGATTAATCTTTTAGATAAAATCTCCCCCCAAATCTTTAATGTAATGAATGTAAATTTCTATAAACAGTAAAGTGTGTGTATGGTCATGCAGTACGGGGAAAGGCTGCTTCCTACCCGGGATGTTGGGATTTGCCTTTTTAAAACAGTGCTTTTAATGCTACAAGTTCATTCAGTATCTGAAAAAGTTTTGAAAAGTAAACTTTTTTTTTTTTTGAAAAGTAAAAATTTTGTATTCAACTAACCAGATCTATTTAACTAGCATTCCGCTTTAAGGAGTCATGTTTTAGCTGTGGATCTAAAAGACATTTGACAAAAGTTTTCACAGTTTTCTTTGTATGCTTAGTTAGTAAAATCTTAGAACGCAGGGATGTAAAAGGCAAAAGTGCCTTAAAACTATGCCCAGCGTGGTACGGCTCCCCAAAAGGGGAATGTACCTCCAAAAAACTAGATCCTCCACAGTTTCAGTAAGTCTTCAAGGAAATTCTCTTCCGGCCATAGACTTTGGGTGTAGAAAATCATCTTATCTGAACAGGTGCATATGTAGAGTTTCTAACAAAGGCTGGGTTTACTGCCCCCAACCTCTGCCCCATCTTTGAGTCCGGGGGCCAAGAAACCAGTGACCATGACAAATAGCACCCACTGTGCTCAAAAGAAACCCACTCTACTTTCCCAAAGGAATTAGACTCCCCCCGCCCCGCTAAAACAATATTCAAAACAGAAAGTAACCAATGGATAAGATTTGTAATGGATAAGATTTCCATTACTTCTGCCTCTAAATCAAACGATGCCTTTAGAGAACATTTGAGGGATTAATAAATAGCCACTTCATCTGTATAAATAATGAACATAGGCTGATTTTCTTGATTCCCGTTTCTAGAGTGGTGTGGTCTATGTCAGGAGGGAAGCTGGCTGGACCTGACTGTGGTTTATTCAGTGTGTCTCCCTTCCCTCCCACTTCCCTGCCATAGTGGGTCCATTATGCTCAGGGCCACTGAGAAGTGGCCTTTAGTGATTGGACAGGTTCACTTGGCGACCCTCCCCATCCACACAGAGCAATGCCTATGTGGGTGCTTCCTGATGGAGAGTGATAAATAGGATGCAAATATTTTCTTTGTAATGCATGATCCTGGCATAGCCAGAGGGAATATGAATGCCCCAGAGCAGCAAGGTTTTGCTTAGAGCTGGAGAGTTGAAGTTAAGGACCCACAGGCACACCCCCGCTGATCGAATGCAAGGTGAGTAAAGTTAATGACATTCAGATTATCAGTAAACAAAGGAAGATAGAAATTATTGAACATCTGACTGCTAGTATTCATGTGATTTCGCAAAGCAAAGAAGAACGTAAGAAAGTTGATCTCTTGTGGCCTGCTGCCTAACATTACTTTTTTTTTTTTAACATTACTTTTCATTACCAGACCTGATATCGGACTGAGGGTTGAAGCAACAGTCTTAGTAGAACCAAAAAATTAATGGATTTATTTTCTAGAATTACCTTAAGCTTTAATGTTCTCCATGGCTTTGGAAGGAAAAGTAAGAGTGTTTTTAGTTTGTAAGGTACCAATTTTGTTCAGTACTTTTGGATTGATTTTGATGGCATTTTTAAATGTTTTGTTCTCAGAAATATTGAAAAGTAGACCCCTGTCCTTTATGTTAAAGATCGGATCATGATCGGGAACTGTGGGGATCACTTACAATGATATCAGAGTCTCACAGTGGCCCGGATGATCTGGTTAAACAGCCAGCCACAGTGATGGAGAGAAATGTGTTGATCAGTCACTTCAGATATGCTGAGCTGTCTGGAGTTCAAATATTTCAAAGTTTGATCATATCCAATTCGATTCAACAAATGCCTACAGAATGCTTAAGGAATAAGGAGAAATTTGATAAGGTGGTCTGGAGGGTAGTACAAAGACAGTGCATTTATGATCCGGAGTGGGAGGCGAGTAAAACACATGAAATGTTGTAAACAAATCAACATATTTATGAAAGTCAGGGCCAAGGCCGTAGGAATGAAGGGCAGGTGTATGTGTTTTTGAGTCTGCTCAGCTAAAATTTCTTCGCTAATCCTAAACCTGATTTGTAAAAACTGTATTATTTATATTATCCCTGAATGAGAAACAGTTGACTCAAAATTCTGAAGGCTAAAAGAGAATGTAGCTAGGTGCTGCAAACACTCATTTTCATCATTTTATTTTACTTAGGACGACAATATGGACACAAAATCCATTCTAGAAGAAGTTCTTCTCAAAAGGTCACAGCAAAAAAAGAAAATGTCGCCAAGTAACTACAAAGAGAGGCTTTTTGTTCTAACCAAAACAAATCTCTCCTACTATGAATATGACAAAATGGTGAGACCCTGCTTATTCGATTGTTTTTATACTATTTATATTTCTTGAGTCTCCACAAAGTGCTTAATTATAATGGAACAATGTCCCGTTTCTTAGCTCACGCAGCCAAGATCAACTTTCCTTCACTTATCACATTGTCTTTTCTTAACCAAGGTATGATTAAACCAAGATCAAGGGTTTTTAAAATATTGGCTAATTTTAGTAAGGCAAATTGTAACTTTAGAACACTGGTCCTTGCCTGAGGGTGATTTTTGGCCGCCAGGGGACATTTTTGGTTATAATTTGGGGAGGGGTGTCTAGTGGGCTCCTGGCATCTAGTGGGTAGAGGCTAGGAATGCTGCTGAACATCCTATAATGTACAGAACAGCCCCCATCACAAAGAATTCTCTGGCCCTAAATAGTGCTGAAGATAAGAAACACCGTGCTGGAAATCAGACTAATTCTATTCAGCTAAGAAGTCTATCAGAGTAGAAATCCTAAAATACTGTCCTAAAATTGAAACAAAATTAAGATGCTCTCTGGGTGGGGGGGTGCCCAAGTGGCTCAGTCGGTTCAGCCTCGGACTCTCAATTTAGGCTTGGGTGGTGATCTCAGGGCTGTGAGATCAAGCTCCGTATCCAGCTGTGTGCTGGGCGTGGAGCCTGCTTAGGATTCTCTCTCTCCCTCTCTCCGCCCCCCCCCCCCCCCGCCCGGCCGCCAAATTTTAAAAGATGCTTTCTGGAGTTAAATCTTGATCTTCCATAGATTAAGCACATGGCAGGTGATGGAAATATGTTTCAAGATTATTAAACAAAATTAAGGGCTGCTTCTAGACTTGCTTTTGGAGGAGTAATATGAGTTTGTGCCCACACTCGAGAATATATTCTGTTGCCACTGGATTTTGACTATGATGGAATACCTGGAAAAATTCTCACATACCCGTCCCATCTCTCAATCTCCTTCCTCGGATAACCTTCACTTTATGCTTTTCTTTGTGTCCCATTGTTTATCGCATGACACATCTTATATTTTGGTTTTTCAATCAGAGAAGAGGCAGCAGAAAAGGATCCATTGAGATTAAGAAAATCAGATGTGTGGAGAAAGTAAATCTTGAGGAGCAGACCCCTGTGGAGAGACAGTACCCTTTTCAGGTAAGAAGAGGGACAACATATTTTGTTATATTTTGTTATATATTTTGTAATATTACAAACTCCATCTATTGGCAATAACAAAAGATGTTGCAAAATGACCAAGACAATGACGAGGCTTGGAACCTCCCCAGGTGGGAGCTGGGCACTTTGCTGAAATTCAGCCTACCAATCTGCTTTCCCTAGAGGGAGAGAAAGAAAGAGGAGCAAGTAAGCCACAGTGGGCTGACTTGCCTTGGGGCCTGACAGTCTCTTTCATCAAACGTTGCTGAGCATTTCCAAGGGGCTCCAAGGTACTAGGCACACTGCAAGGACTCAAATGCCACCCTCGTCCCCAAGGCATTTGCAGATCATTATAATGAAGGTGAGTGTTAAGTTGAAGGAACTGTGGTGTCCTGGGAAGCGGAAGATTCACTCCTCACTCTCCGATTGGAAGAAACCAGGGGGGTTTCTTGGAAGATGCTTCAAATTCGTATCACAGAGGCATGGGATGCTTAAAGGGCACAGGCTTCGGAGGCACCCAGAGCTCCTAACCCCACAGCTTGTACTGGCCATAGGCAACGCACTCAACCCTCTATCCAAGTTCGTTTCTTCATGCGCCAAGTGGGCATAATCATCCATATTTCACAGAGCCGAGACAGGATTAAGATCTTAAAGTGTCTAGGAAAGGGCCCAGAAACTAGTAGCTATTTAATACAGGATCTGTATCATTTACTCATAAAAACTGAATGAATAAACTAGAGAGGGATCCGGGGAAGACATTAGAATGTTCTGACATTTAAACAAGCATCTTAAAGAAGAGACAATGATTTCTGCTGGGGATTCCTTGGGGAGGGACATGACCCAAGGGAATGAAGTAACAGGGAGACCTATTTTTACTCAATATAAGTAAGAACTATATAGTGATCAGAATATATGGAAATTGCCAGGGATGGCTTAGCAAAAGTAAAGGACATTTCATCCCTGAAGAAATTTTTAAGGATAGAGCAGGTAAACATTTTCCAATGGGCTATAAAGAGAGTCACGCACTGGGCCAGTGGATGGACCAGAACATTCCTAAGACACCTGTAATATCTAACATTTTAGACTTTTATAATTCTCCATGGTCCAGGGCACCCGTGCTGAGACCTCAATGTTCACTGATGTCAGATGCATCATTGCTGTGATTTCCCCAAGTGTAGAAGCGGGGTGTCTGGGATAAAACAAACTGAGAGGCGGAGGATAAAAATAACTAGATTTTTTTCCATCTAATTCCAGAGCAAATGCATATTTTATAAGCAAACTCAACTTTTCTTTGGGATACCAGGAAATGTGCAGTTGCACCGGAATGAACCATGGATGCAATTGTATCTAAATGCATCCAATCTTTTCCTTTCCAGATTGTCTATAAAGATGGGCTTCTCTATGTCTACGCATCAAACGAAGAGAGCCGAAGTCAGTGGCTGAAAGCATTACAAAAAGGTAATGTTTAAAAAGTCATTAAAGGGAGTCCTCCTTGGAGTTCTGTTGAGGCTTGGTGGAGGAGAGATATGGCAGCAGAAGGACCCATGGCCAAGAGAGAATCTGCTGATTTTCCCCGGGGAACCTCAGAGAACGGAGAACGTGCCAGGCTCACTGTCATTTTGCATTCTCATTGTCACATGGAGCAAACCTGTGGCTCACATTGCCTTTCCTGCCCTGCACAGAGTGAGCTATTGTGCCTTTCCGGCAGGCAGCCTGGAGGAAGCCAGACCACCTGCTCCCCACCCACTGTGCTTCCCTTTCCCAGGGCAGTCTCCGTTCTCCCGGGGCTATGTCAAGGCCTGTGGCTACCGGACTTTGGCCGTTTACAGAAAGTTCTATCCTACGACTTAACATCTGCCAACTGCTATGTCAAGTACTTCGTAAAGCATTTCCTTAAGTAATCTTCTTGACAAGTCCATGGAAAGGGGTAATCTTATTCTCCCTTTTCCAGATAAGTGAAGTTAAAGAGACATGGCCGGGGTCACGTACCTAATAATGGAGAACTCACAATTCGACTACCCCAACCCAGCCTTTTAACCAGTATGGTATCAACCCTAGGCAAAACTGGGGATTTAATGGAGCTTTTGCTCAGGGATTCTCAGGTTGCTGTGGTGACAGCCCGCAGTAGAAGAGAAAACACTGTTGGTAATTTGGCGCTGTGATGTTTCTCCCCGTGATATTCTTATTTGAAAGGTAGGTGATAGTATGAGGACAGTATACAACTCGAACGAATGACTCTACTGGTGGAATTTCACATATTAAGTCCCCAGATCGGGTGAGGTTTTGTTTTCTTTCGATTAGGGTTCTTTCGCAGCGTACTTCAAAGTATACCACGTTAGACAACCCCCTACTCCACTTTGTTGCAAATACATCTTTTTTTTTTTTTTTTTTTTTACACATAGGGCTTCATTTTTCCTCTGCATGAAAGGGTTTAGCAACCTATCCTGTAGGATAGTCAGGTGGTCCAGTGAGGGGAGAAGCCTACCTCTCCCTGCTCCCAGCTTGTTGAAGTGAGAGGGGCATCTGTCTTAGAGACAGACAAATTTACATCCAACTCCTGCTTTGCTGTGTCACCTAATGAAAACTCTCTCACACCTCACATCTCTGGATCTCAGTTTCCTAACCTATAAAACGGGAGGTCACGTTGCTTTTTTCCTCTAGTGATCTTGAGCCACAAATGAATGACTCACACATATATTAAAGCATCCTGCTCACAAACGTGAGTCACTGTGGTTAGAGTGGGGCCTCCAGGACGAGCCAGCCCTAGAGGCTGCTTCCCATTCAGTCTCCTCTGGGGGGACTTCCTGGGAGCAGTTGCTATGTAGACACCTCTGGTGTGCAGCTATGAGTCATGCCCTAGAGTCTTTTGTGGGTCTTTCTGGAACTATGTACGGCAGGCAGGTTTGGGTGGGCCCTGGAGAGCTCAGGTAGAGGCATATGGAACATAAAGGAGAGCAGAGAGAAAAAGCGAAGGTGAATCTCTTGGCCCCTCGGAAAACTTCAAAGGGACCCTATCACTAGGGCTGCCATGTGCACAGGAAGCCGTGTGCATCAGTTAGTGATGCTTTGGGATGCAGGTAAAAAGACGCCAAGCAGCTGTTGAAACGAATGCACGTCGGTTCCTCTCACACAGTTAACAAGTCCGGAGGTAAACGGTCCAGGGCAGGGGCAGCAGCTCAGGGAAGTCAGTAGGGACCCAGGCTCCTGCGAGCTTTCTGCTTTGCCACCCTTAGAGGCTCTTGGAAAGGCTCTGAGCTTTTCCAGAAGCATCCCCTGCAAACTTCTGTAGATGTTTTACTGGCCGGAACTGTGTCTCATGGCCACCTCTATATGCAAGGGAGGCTAGAAGTCAGTATCTGGTTTTTCTAGCCTTCCTGCTGGTAAACAGCAAGAGAGAAGGTGGGTGAGATTGGCTGTCAGCTCGAAGAGAACAAGAGAGGAGGACGGTATCGGCTGTCAGGCTGGCCAACCAACCCACCGCCACTGCAGGAAAACAAAGAAGTTTCCTCACTTAAGTCCTCTCCCCTGTGAAGTCTTTTTGTCTGCTATTTAGCTCGGGCATTATAAACGGAGGGGGCATCGGAGACACGGCATTTTCCAGACGGTAACCTATACCCAGGAGGTCTGGGCTGACTGAGTGGGGACTCAGGCGTGTCAGCCACCATGGTTCTGAATTCAGAAGACCAGATGTGGATAAAGCGTGCCCTTCTTTCCAAAAGCGAAAACCGAAGGGGGTTCTACAGGGAAGCTGGCATCTGTGCATCGGATTATGGTAGAAAAAGCTTGGGGCTGAGTCTCAGATATGCTACTTACTAGAGATTTGTGAACTTGAGCAAGTTAGGCCACCTCTCTGCATTTCAGTTTACCTAGCTCTGTAAGTGCCATGAAGACAGTTAACAACTCCCCGCAAGGCTGTTGAGTAGATTAAACGAGGTGATACATGGGAGGGGAAATATGTAAACTCCTATACACACACATTAATATATACGAGTTCCTCTTATTGTCATTATTAAACGGTGGGAGTGTCGCAATGTGGACTTTTGGACTTGGTTGGAAAAGAAAGTTACCCGGGAAACGAAGTTCATGTAGTAGGAAATAACGGGAATCCTGGCACATGGGGAGCAAGATCTCAGAGAGCAGGAGGGCAAGTCCCGTGCCCAAGGAAGAGCAATGACCATTTGGGACCAGTTTCTAGTCAGAAACTAGTGTTTTATAATCTTAACTCCTCTTGCTTTTTGTGACTTCTGTAACAATTTCCCTTTAGTTCCCGTTAATATTTAGTAAAGGTTTTTTGGGTTTTTTTTTTAATACCAGTGCTTTCAGCCAAGCTGAGCTGAGCTAAACTAAGGGAACGATAACACCTAAAGCCACTGTTCGTTGAACACGTGCTCTGAGCCAAATGCTGTGCTGGATGCTTTACATACATTATGGTTGGTTATGATCTGATGACCCAGCAAAGCACCTATTATCTCCAAACGCTTCCTTGAATCAGGGTTGGAAAGGAGGAGCAGAACTCTCCTGGGATTAAAATAAGGAAGCCTTAAGATGAATATAAAATCAAGAAGAAAAGAATTGAAGTCACACATGGAATCAGCCCTCCCCACCTAGAGACTCTTCTTGAACTATTCTCTACTAAACCTTGTAGGTTTCTCCGCTGTATTTTGAGAGAGGCTCATGTGGTGTAGAAACAGTAGTCTACTCCAGTATTAGAATTTCATTTCTTTGGGGGCGCTTCGCCTGGGTGGTGCAGTTGGTTGAGTGTCTGACTGTTGGTTTCGGCTTGGGTGGTGGTCTCGGAGTCATGGGATCGAGCCCCACATCGGGCTCTGCGCTTGGCATCCCGGAGTCTGCTTGGGATTCTCCCTCTCCCTCTGCCCCTCCTGCGCTCCCCCTCTCTAAAGTGACTGAATAAATCTTTAAAAAATAACAGCATATTTGAAAAAAAAATTTCATTTCTTTAAACATTGTCCTATTCCCATTATTTTTTTTAAAATAGGCACATATTCCTAGAAAAGTCGCCCCACAAATGATCCATTCCTCAGTGTAAACAAGTCAAAGTCACGAAAGACAAAGCAGAGGTGAGGGACGGTTCCAGATCAAGGGAAACTAGAAAACTAAAGGCCATATGTGATTCTGGATTGGATCCCCAATCAGAAACAGTGAATGATTATAAAGGGAATTACTGGAACAGTTGGGAAAATTTTGAATATAGAATACTCAGCAATAGTGTTGTATCCGTGTCAAAGTTCCAGAATTTGATAATTGTGTTATGGTTATGTGAGGGACTGTCCCTACTAACAGAAGTCACATGCTGATGTATTTATGGGTGACGTTATTTAGGTCATGATATCTGCAACTTACTTTCAAATGGTTAACAAAACATAATAATTTGAAACTTTTTAATAATAGTATGTATGTACAGAGAGAAAGAGAAAAAGCAAATACGGCAAATAATTAAAAATTGGTGAGTCTGGGTGAAGTGTATACGGACATTCATTGTACTAGTTTTGAAACTCATCTGTGCCTTTGAAAGGTTTCAAAATGAAGAGTGGAGGGAAATACATGTTCATTAGAATCTTCTTCTCTTCTTGCTGAGATCTAGGACTATCCTTCAGCCTCCTGAACTCCACGTGCCCTAACCCACTTGTTTCCTTTATAGATGTATTTCTAAAACCCTAGATCACCAAGTTAATCTGTATATACATTTTCTAGGGTTTTTTTTGTAAGACTGATAGAAGTTATTGTGTTGTTCTCACTCTATACCTGGGTAGACTTTTTAAAAAATTTTTTGGCTTATTAACTTATGAGTGAAAGACTTATATCCTTCGGGAACTATTTGCTCTTACCCTGGTTGCTGGCAAAATAAGGTTTTCATTGTTCTGTGATAACAGCGCTTACTGAATGTGTTTCTTCTCTTGGGCCAACATTTGCTCATGCTGTGTTTTCTTCCTGCCTGTTCCCCAGAGATAAGGGGCAACCCCCACCTGCTGATCAAGTACCACAGTGGGTTCTTCGTGGATGGAAAGTTCCTGTGCTGCCAGCAGAGTTGCAAAGCAGCCCCAGGATGTACTCTCTGGGAAGCATGTAAGGTGACCCCCCCCCCCGCATTGGGCTGGGCCCTGGGAGGACGGTGCCCCATGAGGCAAACCTGCCAAATTCCAGAACAGTTCACCAGCTTGGGAAAACAAGATGTGCCACTTTGGTTGACATCATGAAAACCCAGCCTCAAAAAATGCTATCGGGCAGATGAAGTCCAATTATAGGGTCAACTGAGTCATAAAATAATAACAATATTAACATTCGCCGTTCTTTCATTTCGTGAGAAATGTTTTTTTAAATTGGAATCATGAATCGAGCAAGGCGCTGTTTATTTCCTCCCCTAATTCTTCCTGGTTTAAGATAAACTCCAAATGGGTAGAATGTGGAGAACATATCACCATGGCTCATAACCTAAAATAATAAACTAAAAAAAAAATTCTTTTTGAAAATATGTCAAAGGTTTTGGTTTTAGAGGGGAGGGGGAGGGGGGATGGGTTAGCCCGGGGATGGGTATTAAGGAGGGCACGTACTGCATGGAGCACTGGGTGTTATACGAAAACAGTGGATCGTGGAGCACCACATCAAAAACTAATGATGTATTGTATGGTGACAAACATAACATAATAAAATTTAAAAAAAATATGTCAAAGGATAATATTTAAGTAACACTTTGAATCACCATATATACCACAGTGATGGATGACCAAGTTTTAAAAGGCATATTTAAAGGGCTTACCATTCTGTACATGTTTACCGATTTCTTAATAACACCACAGAAGGTAGTGAAGGGTCTGCTTTAAGCGCAATCAGATTCTATCCAGAGTTATATTCCTAAGAAAATCTGGCTGAGACTTTATCTGGGGACAGAGAAGAAGGCCCACTGAGTGGCTTTGAAGGGCTAAGGGAGGGAAAGAATTAGGTTGTTTCCTGCTTGTGCTCCTATAGTGTCTCATCCTATCTTCAGGATATTTACACGGAGCAGTCTTTTTTTCTTTTTGAAGATTTTTAAAAAATATTTTATTTATTTACTTGAGAGAGAGAGAGCATGCGTGAGCGAGCGGGGAGGAGCCCGAGGCGGGGCTTGATCCTACAATCCTGAGATCCTGAGATCCCGGCCTGAGCCAAAATCAAGAGTCCGAAACTTAGCTGACTGAGCCACCCAGGCACCCCATGAGGCAGTCTTAAATATTTTAGGAGTTTGTCACTGTTTAACAACAGTAAGTTGTGAATAAATTAAAAAGGAGAACTTATTCCGGTAACAGTTTTACCAGCCTGAACAAAATATGCTTGGTTACAACTTTAACGAATTGAGTAAGATCGGCGGTGACTTTATGAACTGTAAAACCCACAGGGACATGAGCTATTATTCAAATCCACTCCATTATAGTATTGACACCTGACGCTCACATTAATGGTATTACTAGTAATTTGACAACAAAAATCAATGAATAAATGTTTATTGTGTTTTCTATCTTAATTAGACTACACAGTGAATATTTATTCATCCTAAGTATATCACACTGCCCTTTATACTTGGGAATTATCGTGATCTAATGAACTATACAGAAACTACTGTATATGGATCCTCCCTCCACTGTAAGGGGCTGAGGAATAATGTTTCCTTAGAACATTAATTCTTTCCGCCAATTATTCTGCCCACGGTCTGGCATCATTACCCAGCAGGTCAGATTCTAGCTCTGACCCTACCTTCCTGCGAAGAAGCAGGAAAAAGGGCCAGAGAGAGCACTCCCTTGGCATTATCTTCCTGGGCTCGGTCTGGATGGCATCTGCCATATGTTCTGGGTACAACAGGCTCTTTTCCAGCCTCTGAGGAAAACGACAGAATTTGGAGGAGCCGTGGCCCATGAGCAGCTATGATATCACTTATCTAGCCGAGTATAACTTACTCCTCTGCTGGGTTACAGGGTTGCCCAAGGGTACAGTTACCAGGAAGGAAATAGTTGAGAGCCTGGCTTCCTTCTGTCTCCCAAATGCCCCTGGACCATTCCTTTTCCAGGGTACGTGGCCTACAAGTAAGTTTGCCATACACCCCAGTTTGTTTGGAGCAGGCTCATTCTGCAGCTGGTGACCCGGCACAATTATCAAAAGCTTACCTATCCCTGTAAGAAATGTTCCAGGCTGGTTAGTAAATTGTATGGCCGCTCTGCTTAGAAGGCACGTAAACGGCTTTACACCCATAGCCTGGGCATCTATCTACATGTGGAAGTGGAAAGAGAAACCAACAATTATCAGAAGAAATGGAAAAAAGTATGGGATAGTTTTTGTTCATTTATAAATCAGCTACTTGGGGGATGCCTGGGTGGCTCAGTCGGTTAAGCGTCTGCCTTCAGCTCAGGTCATGATCCCGGAGTCCCAGGATGGAGCCCCGTTTTGGGCTCTCTGCTCGGCAAGGAGTCTGCTTCTCCCTCTGACCCTCCCCCCTCTCATGCTCTCTTTCGCTCTCTCAAATAAATAAATAAAATCTAAAAAAAAATCAACTACTTATAAGCATCTCATATGAGTCAATCAAAGAGGAATCAGACATGGATTCTGACCCCTAGCATCATAGGTACTACCCAACGAGATTAGATATCTGTATTTCAAATACAAGGTGGAAATGTGGTATAAATTAATAGTTTACAGGATTTAGAGGACCTTGAGTTTTTTTATCCATTTGGGGGAGGATATTGATAATCAAAAGTGGAGGAGTGGTGTTTGAGTTGGGTGTTACACAGGAAAACAACAAAATCACTCCGGATGCTGTGTCTAAATTCACGTTATCTGAAGCATTGATCCCATAAACTAGTTCAATCTTTTGATTCTTAACATTGGGTGTTTGCTTTGTTTTGTTTAAAGTCTCTGCTGATGTTACTTGGTGTTTCTTTTCAGATGCTGATCTGCACATTACAACCCATGAAGAGAAACACAGAGTTCCCATCTTCCCAGACAGAGTGGTAAGTCGATATTTAAAATTTTTTGCATAGCCAGGATATATTAAAATAAACCAAGAGTTGCCAGATTCAAGACTCGAAAATATGGGCTGCATTCAGACTGCTTAGCAAAGAGAGGACAAAGGTGAGCTATCACTGATAGCAGCGGCAGTATCGAATGGTCAAATATTGAATCATTTTACCATTTTATATTGTTATACTTAATAACTGGGCCTTTTCTGACATGTAAGCACAGAAATAGTCGCCAAGAAATGGGTGCATGTGGGAGATGTCCTTACGATGGCCTCACACATGAGCTACTAGCTGTCATTCCTCCCCCAGCAGCAGCCTGGCCAAGACCGCCTCATGTGAGTATCCTGGCAAAGGATGGGACACCATAGGTCACAAGCAGAAAATAACCTAATTCTTTCTCTCCGTTATCCCTTCAAAGCCACTTGGTGGGCTTTCTTCTCTGTCCCTGAATGGAATCTCAGGGAGATTCCATAGTTTTCCAGCTGCTTGCCGATGAAACAGAATGTCCCAATTACTGGTAGTCATGAGAAGAACCTCTCAATTGCCCCGTCCAATGCTTTAATCATATGACCCCAAACATCATTCCAAGTCACAACTTCTCCCCTTCACATAGCTCAGGTGTGCATCAGCTGGCAGCCTGCTTTGGGGAGAGGGCCATGGGGAAGCTGAGATTTCTGACTCTGTCATGGTTGGGGCCCAGGAAGAGGGGGTCTAATGCAAAACAGTCATTTGTGGCTGATCCCATCATGATTTTGGTAGGGGTGGCTCCTGGGTGAGACAGTTTCCTAATGCTGATTCTTTAGCTTATGGGAAACTTTTGCGGGTTCACCACGAGTGTGCAGATCCAAATGTAGTTTTATGACAGAGGGGTAGTCTTGACCCTTAGCTCTTGAGTTTCTAGTCCTCACATTTCTGCTGGGTCAATTCACCCATCTTGGACAGAGTTCCTTTCAAGGTGGCTCCCAGAACCCTCTCCCAAGGGTGGAGTTGGCCTACAGTACGATAAACAAAACCTTGACTGCTCTGCTTAGTACAACTGTATGTGACTCTCACCATACAGGCTGTTGCTCTGGTTTTGCTCTGCTTTCCTGGGGTTGTAGCCGTAGCCTCCTGCTTTTAGGCTTCCCAGGCAGGTGTCAGCCTCCTCAAGTGCCAGGGGACACATAAAATGGCCTCCCCATGATGCTCTAGAAGCTGTCCTAAAAGTAAAGGAGTGTCTCTACCCATTCATTAGCTCTACGGTGTCTTGGGCACTAATTTTCAGCTGCACACAATCACACACACCTCTCTCTAAGTAAAAAAAATATAATCTTTATGAACCAACAGGAAGGACAAAAGGAAATCCATTATTGGAGTAGGTTAAATTGTCTCCCAAATTTCATGTTTACCCAGAACCTCAAAATGTGACCTTATCTGGAAACAGGTCTTTACAGATGTAATTAATTAAGGACTGAGGTGAGATCATACTGGATTAGAATGTGTCCTTATAAGAAGAGGAGAGGACACAGGGAGATACACAGTGTAGAAGGCCATTTAGAGACCTGGGCAAACCAAAAACCAAATAATCCAGTTTGAAAAAAGGGCAGAAGACATGAATAGACACTTTTTCAAAGAAGACATCTAGATGGCTAACAGACACATGAAAAGATGCTCGTCATCACTCATCATCAGGGCAATGCAAATCAAAACCACAATGAGATACCACCTCACGCCAGTCAGAATGGCTAAAATTAACAAGTCAGGAAACGACAGATGTTGGCGGGGATGCGGAGAAAGGGGAACCCTCCTACACTGTTGGTGGGAATGCAAGCTGGTGCAGCCACTCTGGAAAATAGTATGGAGGTTCCTTAGAAAGTTGAAAACAGAACTACCCTATGACCGAGCAATTGCACTAGTGGGTATTTACCCAAAGGATATAAAAATACAGATGGGAAGGGGCACATGCACCCCGATGTTTATAGCAGCATTATCAGCAATAGCCAAACTATAGAGAGAGCCCAAATGTCCCTCGACTGATGAATGGATAAAGAAGACGTGGTATACCTATACAGTGGAATATTACTCAGCCATCAAAAGGAATGAAATCCTGCCATTTGCAAGGATGTGGATGGAGCTAGAGTGTATTATGCCAAGTGAAATAAGTCAGTCAGAGAAAGACAAATACCATATGATCTCAGTCATATGTGGAGTTTAAGAAAGAAAACAGATGAACATATGGCAAGGATGGGGGAAAGGGAGAGAGGGAAACAAACCGTAAGAGACTCTTAACGATAGAGAACAAACTGAGGGTTGATGGAGGGAGGTGGGTGGGGAATGAGCTAAGTGGGTGATGGGTACTAAGGAGAGCACTTGTTGTGATGAGCACTGGGTGTTGTATGTAAATGATGAATCGCTGAATTCTACTCCAGAAACCAATATTGCACTGTATGTTAACTACCTAGAATTTAAATTAAATAAACAAACAAACAAACAAACACCTAGGCAGGAGATTCGAGTTATGCTACCACAAGTCAAAGAATGCTAGAACCACCAGAAGTTGGAAGAAGCAATTGAATATTCTTCCATAGAGCTTTTAAAGGGAGCACGGCCATAGAGAAGCCTTGATTTTGAACTTGAGGCCTCCAGAACCGCAAGAGAACAAATCTCTGTTGTTTCAATCCACCAAATGTGTACTGATTTGTCATGGCAGTCCGAGGAAACTAATACAATTATTAAGGTTTGAGGGCTTTATTTTGTTATCAGCAACATTGCTCTTTTAGTTTGGGTACATGCTCCAGTCCTGAAGCTTGAAAATTATGGCGTTATTAAACACCTAAGAGCAATGTCCAGAATAAGTAAATCTACAAGGACAAAGGGCTGATTAGCGGTTGCCCGGGGCCAGGATGGGAACGGGTGACTGCTAATGGTCACAGGGGCCTTATGGGAGTGACGGCAATGTGCTCAGACTGGACTGTGGTGATGGTTGCCCAACTTGATAAATTTACTAAAAGTCACCAAATTCTATACCTTCTATATGGTATGCAAATTATAATCCAGTAAAATTTGTTTTAAACAAATCTAAGAGCAGAGGATAATTTAGGAGCCAGAATTGCATCTAATCTCTGGCAAGGAATTCTTGGGGAAATGTGCTGAAAATTATCAGTCAGGCAGATCATTGGCCAAGGGTTTCTAAGTCTGTTTTGATTGTCAGCTGCCCTAAAGGATCAGGGATCAGCGGGAGTATCATGAAAAACATGTTTCCCTTTGTTTTGTTTTTACCAGAACATTCAGTAGAGGACTTACTTTGCAGAGCTGAGGAAATTAAAAATCCACTTTCTAGCCCTTCTGTTCAGATTTCCGTGTAGGGAACTTTCCACAGCATTTATGTCTGGACAGAACCACCGCATAGCTCATAAACAGCAGTGTCCTGCGGAGCGAAAATTTCCAGGACGTCGATCCCTGCAAAAAAGTAAAATTACGCGTATGAAAAATTAAATGCAGAGCTTATAGCTTTTTATGTGAATTTTCAATTGAAGTATAACATGCACTTGGACAAGTATACGAGCCCGAAGTGTTCAGCTTGATGAATTTTCACAAACAGAACACACCTATATAACTCTCACTCAAATCAAGGAACAGAACATCACAGAACCCCAGGGGTACCATCAGGTTCCTTTTTGGTCACTACATCCCACTGAGCGTAATCACTAGCCTGACTTCTAACATCATAGCTCACTTGCTTGGTTTTGACCTTTATGTAAATGGAATCATAAAGTATATCGTCACGTATTATCTGTCTTCCTATGAGATTGACCCACACTTTAGTGTGTGGTTGTCATTTCCTCTCACTGCTGTGTAGGATTCCACTGTGTGGATATACCCTTATATTCGTTTTATTGCTGCTGTAACAAATTACCACAAATTGAGTGACTTAAAGCAACACACATTTATTCTCTTGAAGTTCTGAAGGTCAGAAGTCTGAAATAAAATGGGTCCACACGGCGGTATTCCTCGTGGAGGCTTTAGGGGGAATAATCTATCTCCTTGCCTTTTCCAACTTCTAGAGGCAACCTACATTCTTCAGTTTCTGGCCCCCTCCTCCATCTTCAGGGCCAGGAGGGTAGCGCCTTATGTTTAGTATCAAATAGGTTTATTATTTTACCCTTTAAACGGGCATTTAGATCATTTCCAGTTCTTATCGAATTGAAATAATTCTGCTACGAACATTCTTTTATGTGTCTTTTGATTTCACTGCTGGGTGTGCATATAGACTTTCTGGATCGTAGGGTATGTGCGAGCCTGACTTGAGTAGATTCTGCAAACAGCTCTTCAATGTGGTTATATACTCTGAACTCCAGCCAGCCAAGTATGAGAGTTCCAGTTGCTCCAGATCTTTGCCAATACTTAGTACTGCCCTTGTTGCCCTGCTCTTCCTTTCCTTTCCTCTTTTCTTCCTTCCTTCTTTTTCTTTCTTTCTTTCTTTCTTTCTTTCTTTCTTTCTTTCTTTCTTTCTTTCTTCTTTCTTTCTTTCTCTTTCTTTCTTTCTTTCTTCTTTCTCTCTTTCTTTCTTTCTTTTTCTTTCTTTCTTTCTCTTTCTTTCTTTCCATTCTTTCTTTCTCCTTCCTTCCTTCCTCCCTCCCTTGCTCCTTCCTTCCTTCTTTCCTAAGAGCTGATGTACTTAGCATGTTAGCTCCCAGTACCTGAATCTGTGCCTCACTGTGATATATTCAAATCTCTTGTCCTCCAAAGCTGAAGATTCCTCGAGCAGTTCCTATTTTCAAAATGAATGAACCATCCTCAAGTACCACCGTGGCCCAGTATGACAGTGACTCAAAGGGAAACTACGGCTCCCAGCTAACTGTCAACATGCAGCATATTCCAAGAGAAGATTGCCCTGACTGGTGGCAAGTAAGGAAACTGAAGAGGTAAACTTCAGCTTTTAGCTGGGCTGTCCAGCACGTAGGGTAGCCATCACCCCCCTGCCTTGGACGTCAGCCTCAAAGCTGTCCACGCAGGCCTTAGCTGAGAAGGGCTGCCCTCCCCGAAAAGGCTCAGTGCTTGAGCCAGAAGCCTGGGCGAGCAGTGGCCCCACTGGGACCGAACGGCATGGACTTCCCGTCTAGATGATCTGATCTATGATCTAAGAAATACTGGCGCATTTTATTTCCTGCCCTTTCTCCCCCCCTTTTCCCCAAATAACCCTATGTGCCAGAAGTTGGAAGCTTTAAAATATATCCTTTACATGTTTCGGGTGGGCTTCCTTTTGTCTTGTGCTTACAAATGCCAAGTAACAGTCCCAGCGAGGCCTCGGCTGCCTTCTCAGGATGGATACCTTCAGCTCTCCTGACGTGATCAGTCTTCACACATTTTTTAAGCCAAAATGAAAACTACCTGAAAGGCAGTACGTAAACTGTGTATCTCTCCAGGGTCTCTGGGGCCAAGCCGGGGCCCCATACTTGATGCTCACTAAAGATTGAACTGAATCACAAGATGACAATAGAGAAAGGGTCAAGTGACTGTCCTTCCCTCTTTGCTGCCTCAGCCTTCCTCCCCATCACATTCTTCACGGTCGTTAGCCTCCATGCAGGGCACCGGGGTCTGTCTTTCCCCACAATGGATGCAGAACATCTCTCTGACTCCTCAGGCATCTCCTTTCTTTGTTTTCTCCCTCGTGCTCTGATTTTTTTATTCTTTCCATCCTCATCATTTTTACCTAAAGCAAATGCCTCACTGTACCAATGACACAGCCACAAGGCCACACGGAACTTGAAAGAATGTAAGTGTATTCTTGTTGTTGCTTTTGGCATGACAAATTGTGGGGCTTTTCATTTCAAAGTGGAGCTAGAGTCCAAGCGTATTCATCTATACCTGGTACCTCAGGGGACATGTCACATTTATTTGCCTACAACCCAGTGTTCTTGTGGAAGGAGACCACTGATAGACGCAGATCCTAGGAGAGTGGGTGTCATGTCAGCTTTGTGCCGGGCCCCCCTCCCTACCGGAAGCCCTAGGGATTCATTGAGGGAAACGTGCAGTGAAACTGATCAGTATTCAAAAAAGTAGTCAGCACTATTAATTCATGGGGGGGGGTACAACCACCAATGCCTGAATGGCTAGATCCTACCTTTTTTTTTTTTAAGATATTACTTATTTATTTATTTGACAGAGAGAGACACAGCGAGAGAGGGAACACAAGCAGGGGGAGCGGGAGAGGGAGAAGCAGGCTTCCCATGGAGCAGGGAGCCCGATGCGGGGCTCGATCCCAGGACCCCAAGACCATGACCCAAGCCGAAGGCAGTCGCCCAACTGACTGAGCCACCCAGGTGCCCCATAGATCCTATATTTATTGAAAATACTGACTTTTTTTCATCTTGGATTTTTTGCATTAATTTTTATTTAAAAAATTTCATTAACACGTTATTTATCTTGTCTACTGAGTTTTTCTGACACCCCCCTTAGATTTTGCATCCAAGATTCAGTCCCGACCTTGGATTCTTCCCTAGAACTTGAGAAAGCTAGTTATCTGAACAAAGAACCGATGAATCACTTCTTAGCCTGAGTAGCATTACATCAGTGAGTGAATGATGATGATTGCTAAAAGATCTTTGTGGATTGAATTTTAAAAATGCAGTCATAAGTCTCAGCTCACATAAGGAGATAATACTTTTTTATCAACTATCCTCACTTGAGCTGCTTTTTAATTTTTTCTGAGTAGTAAAATAATGGCATGCTTCCATTAAAGCATTCAAGTATTGCAGAATATCCAGGGTACATTCTTCTAGAACGTTTTCTATGCACACGTTACCACGTGTAGAGAATTAAAAAATCAGATTCTCACCACGTACTCTTCTGTGCCACTCTCTCTCTTCACATCTTGGACATTTTTTCCCATTTAAGTACATGAGGCTACACTTCAGTTTTAATGTGGAAAAAATATTGAATGGTGGGAAAACATAGCATACGTTTTGCCATCTTAGTGATTTTTAAGCGTACAGTTGAGAGGTGTTAGGGACATTCACACTGTTGTGCAAGCTACCTGATTATCCTGAATGTCTAGATAGTGTTCCATCATGTGGATAAACCTAAGAGATGCACCGCTGACGGCATTCTCTGTGTGTTCTTAAAAACAACATAAAAGCTAGATAAATTGCTTAGCATTTTAAAATAAGAGTTTTCTTTTGAAGAGATGAAGTAAAAAAGCCATGCTAGTGAGCAAGGCTCTTCGGAAGGCAGCACTGAGGGCTTTCTCCAGTCATTCCTTGAAATGGAGCCAGAGAAGCATTTCCTTGTTAAGGAAGCTTGTTGCTACGAAGGGTGGTTTTGAAAAGGGGCCTGAGATAGGAAGGCGAGCAGGAAATAGGTCCTACATTCCAAGCAAAACAGCCTTTGGACTTGGAGAGGTAGGCACTTCCTCATGTTCTGCCTACCACGCAAAACGGAAGAGGGAAAATGACGGGTGGCAGGGGGTGATGAAGACCTTGAGGATCCCTTAACCCCACGTGGAGTTAAAAGTTCAGTATTTTCCAGACTTTTCATTGCAATTGCAACAGCCAAGAGGGAAATAACATGTTAAAATATATAAGTGACCGAATGCTTGCATAGCGACAAAAAAATCAGGAGTCAAGATGATCTATTCATCCAACTTTTCTATTCACAGTTCTCTTTTGTTTAGGAACACTGTCAAGCTGCCTCTGGTTATTGGGGTCCCTGCAATGCAGGACGAAAATGTGAAAAGGACTTATTAGCTTAAATTCCCAAACCAAGTGAAATACGATGGTCAAAATGTTACATGAAGCTAAAAGATACCTAACAAAACTATTTTTCTCCTTTAACATTTATAAATAAACATAAGTTTACAAAATGTATCTTTTTGTTGCAGCAGTGAAGATTTTGCAACCAGCAACCAAAAGGAAAGGACTGTTGCAAATCACAGCACCTCAAAGATGTCATGGTAAATCACATGCAGATATTCCTTTACGTCTAGGATTTGCTTCCATTTGCAGGAAAACTAACCACATTTGCAATCATTTTGCATCTAGACTTCATGTTTAAGGTAAAGACGAACCAAAAAAATTCACGTAGTTTGCCTCTCTGAACCCTTCAGTTGGTCTGAATCGATGACTTGGGGGTTAGTTTTCCTCGCACTGATATTTCCTGTCCATCATTCAGGATATGCACTGGTGTTAGCACGAACAGTAATATACCTGGCTCTGGCAGCTCTAGCAGGAGGAAAAACCACCTCAAGTCGAGTAACTCTTCTCTAAGAATTGCTCTATACACAACCCGATTTTTTTTTTTAACCTCCTACTACAGCTGCTCCCGAAGGTATTCATCTATTTCATGAGCCCGCTCTTCCAAAAGAGTCAAACAAATCCACGTTCCTGGGGGCCTCCTGTAGCAAAGAGCCATTTGCTCATTAAACTGGGCATGAACTCGACTTTTGAGTGATTCTCTCTTCACTTTGCCCATACCTTCCCAGGTGCAAAGAGGGAACCCTGACAGTCTAAATTTTATTTGTGGGGGTAAAAGCAAGGTGGGATTTGACCTTGCACTGCTAGGTATTTGCATTATTTCTTGGTGGTTTTTTGCATTCATGTCGTTTCCTCTCTTAAGGGGATTCCCCGAGTCAAGTTCATCTGAAGAAGAGGAAAACCTGGATGACTATGAGTGAGTTTGAAAGTCTTCTGTGTTCCTCTAAAACTAACATAGGTGTTTCTATTCCATTCTTCCCCAAAGGCATTAGAGCAGATGTCTCAGACTTGCTTGGGAGGCTGTATTTACTTGGGTAAACTCATATGAGGTGCTGGGCCATTTATCTGGATGATGGGTGATAATGAGCTGGGTTGTTACTAAGGGAAATATTTTTCCTCAGTCTGGATTATCTAAACTGGCTGTACATATTCATTGGATTTATCATATACCTGGTGTCCCCTTCACTTGACTTTGTCTTCGTAGATGCAGCATATGACATTTCTGCCGAGTATTTCTGCCCTGGAGGTCTCTGGTCAGGGTGGCCTTTGAAGGCTCTTATTAGCACTTATTAGTCCCGTTTTTGAAGTTATGATACAGCAACAAGGTAGCGCAACTGAGACTTGAACTTGACCGTATTTATGTTGGGAGAGTCCTATTTCTAGGGCAACCTTATCATTTAACATCCAGATTAGGATATTTTAGAAAGAGAGAAAGAGTGCCCTATTAAATATTACACCTGGACATCAGGCATGAATTGGACTCTTCTGGGTGAATAAAAATGTAGGATCACCCCAATTATACTGAGACAGGTTGGCCTAAGGGGCCCTTAAGGTCCTTTCCAAAATCTAAGACTGTGTCTTTCTACAAATAGGGACAAATAAGTCTCCGAAACTTTATTTAAAGTTGGCATTAAGGAGAGGTGGGGGTGATAAGGCAGACTGCATCTCCCAGACAGCTGCTCCCCGATGGTGGCCAACTCACTTGAACACCGGGATTATACATCTTTTCAGTTCTGTTTTTCTATGAGTGTGGTCACTGATATATTGGCTGTAGGTACAGTGAGAGGTTTTATAAAGTACCTGTCATGGTTTTGACTCTTCGTCTTACCTCTAAGCCAGCGTGGCCCTAGGCGTTCCTGCCACATTAGGGAAGACGGGCTGTAGGCCCCGCCCCTCCACAGCATGGCTTTTTCGCCACCATCTAGCTCCCCGTGATCCCTACCTTCTTCCCCAATATCCACCCTCCGGAAAGCCTCTGATGGAATAATTCAAACTAAGACATAAACGCTGAGAAACACCAACACCAAAATTATCCAAAGATAATAGCACTTTGAGGGATGACAAAGACTTAAACCCATGGCAGTGAACCTGTAATTGTGGCTGCTAGCCTTGAGCATTTCAATGAATTGGAAGTCTCTCTTCAATTTGGAAAGCCCAGATCTGACCATATGGACAGTCTCTATCTCCATCATTTCTAAATTCAAATGGTGCCTGAGAGGTGTGCCCTGCGGAAACACTCAGGAGAGACCTGCCCTCTTCCAAGTCAAAGAGGTGCCGAAGGGCAATCAGGAGCAGAGGGCTGCGTGATCCGGGGCTCAGCCTCTCGCACGGTGCTCGGTGCCCCCAGCTTCTACCTCTCTCAGTGGCACCGAAGCATTTGTTTGGTGGGGCAGAACTTCATGAAGATTTCTACTGTGTTCTATTGAAGGCTGAGGCACTGAAGTTTAGATGGAAAATCATACCTTAGGAGCAGGCTTAGCGTCTGGTGCTCTGGCAATGACATGCGAAATCTTTTTTAAAACAAACAGAGCCAGATCTCAAGTAAAGTGTGTGTGTGTGTGTGTGTGTGTGTGTGTGTGTGTGTGTTCCCACCTTGCTTCTCCACGCCTCTGTCCTTATTCCCGATCATCTCTTTCTTCTCTCTCCCATAGGCATGTATTCTGGATCATATTCCCTGAGGAGTCTTTTGATTAGCTGTGATTAGTTTAAAATATTAACTCAGAAGAAAATAACCAGTTCATACCTCAAGTATTAATTATATCATATCTATAAGGGTAGAATTAGAAGAGACTTTTTTTTAAAGATTTTATTTATTTATTCGAGAGAGAGAGAATGAGAGATAGAGAGCATGAGAGGGGGGAGGGTCAGAGGGAGAAGCAGACTCCCTGCTGAGCAGGGAGCCCGATGTGGGACTCGATCCCGGGACTCCAGGATCATGACCTGAGCCGAAGGCAGTCGCTTAACCAACTGAGCCACCCAGGCGCCCTAGAAGAGACTTTTTAAACTTATATTCAACCCTCATCCTCATTTTGCAGATGGGTAATTCCAAGGTCAAAAAAGGCCAAGTGGTTTGTCCAGAGCCATACAGCTACTCATTAGGAAGTTATGTCTAGAATCCAGACCTCCAAGCTGGCTGGTGGCTCTTTCCACTCCACTGGCCTGCCCACCAGCTGACACGCCCCCCGCCCCACCTAATACATCCTCACCCTCGGGTTCTTCTTTCCTCTTCGGGTGTTATCCTCTAGCCAGAGGGTCCTCGTAAGCCCCCAAACCCATGCTCCATCCCCCCTCACACCCTGTTCATTTCCCTAGTATGACATTCTAGCCAAAGCCAAAAGACTGCAGTCATTGTTGATCTCACGTGAGAAACAACTCTGGAGCCTGTTGAGCTCTACACAGAAAGTAAGATGTGATGCTCTTGGCTAACTTAGTGAAAAAGGTAATATTTAAAGATCATGCCTGGCTGCCCCACATCATCTCTTTCTCAGGTTGCTGTACCTGTTACTGGCTTACTATAGCCATAGAGGCTTATCTATTGCTATCCTGCAAATAAAAAAATATTCATTAGAAAAGCATTTGCTTTGAAAATAGATGCTATAAGGTGTGCTTCTATCAGATTATTAAAAGAAAAATATAGGGTTGAAAGACAGGCAACCCCAACTTTCCCATTGGAATATTCTTTCATCCATCTCATCTCCGGCTCTCGCTTGAAACAGTGACACATAGAACTCACGGGCCTGCCCAAAAGAGGCCAAAGGTTCTTAAGTGCTAGCCCGCGTGAAAACAGATATGCAGGCACCACCCCAGAATCCTACTGAGGTGGTGCAGACTCGCGGGAATCCGTAGTTTTGAAAAGCCCCTGGGGGGATTCTCTAGAGCAATCGGGTTGGGAAATCCCTGACCGAAGCTGATGCCTCATTGTACGGGGTAGAAAGTTGAGTGACCAGGCACGCGGTTACAAATTATTAACTCACAAATACGCGATTCTTTCTCCTTGTAGCTGGTTTGCAGGTAACATCTCCAGGGCCCAATCGGAGCAGTTACTGAGACAAAAGGTAAATTATCTAGTCTTTAAAGTAGCCTTTAAGGATCTTTCTTGTGGGGCCCAGAGGGCAATGCCCTTACTTCTCATAGAAACCGGATGGCTAATTACACAGGCAAGTGGTCATAGAGGCTGCAGTCCAGCCCCTGGGTTACGGGGCCCTTCGCATGTAGCCACTTCCTCGGTTTTTCATTATCTCCTGCTGGGTAATAAGCCACTTCCAAATTTGGCAGTTTGAAACAAGAATTAGGAGTTCTCGCCATTCTGTCCACAGGGTGCCATGGTTCTGCTCCGTGTGGCTGACGGGGGTTTCCTCACAGCCTGGCGATCCCAAGGCAGGGGTAGATGAGGACAAGCCCCGTGGTTCAGCACAAGCACTGATGGAATTTCGGCTTTTGTCAGGGCTGCTAATGCCCTATTAGCCAAAGCAAGTCTGGTGGCCTAGCCCGGACTCAGTGTGGGAGGGGACTGCCCAGGGCAAGAATACAGAGACATGATTGACTGGGGGCCATCTATGTAACAGCCTAGCTCAACTCTGTCCCTGCCCAGGAGCACCTAAACCCGAGGACGGCAGGTGCAGTAGGGAATACCTCTACCTGATTTTGTTACAAAATTGGCCCTTTCCACCTGCCAAACTGATGCTGTGATACAGTTCGACCTAGTAAAACACACCAGGGATTCCTTTGAGGGGTACTAGTGAGAACGTGATGACGTCACCACCTAACCCGGTATCTCGTCAATGTTGTCGCATTCATAGCTTATTGTCTGCTCTTTCTGAATCTGGATCTGCTTGGAATTAGCACAAGTCATAAAGAAAGACAAGTTGAGCATGAAACTTTAACAAATGATTTGTTCTGCGTCTTTGGTTTTCTAATACCTTCCGAGGTATTCTATTCCGTGGTGATAGGTGGTTTTAAGTGTCATTTCTGAAAGATTAAAATATCAGGTTTCCACAAAGACAAAACAGAGAACATTATCAGAGAGGGTTAAAAAGTAAGTGGAGACGGAGAGTCAAAGCACAGGGTAGGTCTCTCAAGGAACTGAGAGAGAAAAGGAGGAAAGCTGAACCGTGGGTCCCCTTCTGTGCCAGTTGTTGGGTGATCTGGGCTGTCAATGACATTCAAAGTCGATCGAAAAGATCCATTTCCCTACCACCTACCAGGAAAAATAGTTTTCAAGAATAATGAAAATGTTTTCCATTCCTTCCACTCTTTCCTTCCTTTCCAGGGAAAAGAAGGTGCATTTATGGTTAGAAATTCCCGCCAGGTGGGAATGTACACAGTGTCCTTATTCAGCAAGGCTATGAAGTAAGTATGACATGGATTTCTCTCTTTTATCTTGTGTGTATGTTCTTTGAATACGTTGGCCATTTAGTCACATTTGGGGATAAGACACCATCTTTAAACTCTGGCGTTTTGGCTCAAAGGATTTCTATCGAATGCAACCTTGCCCACCCAGCCCCGACTCTGAGCGCTCGTTCTCTGGGGGAGCCCCCTCTGCCCATCCCAGGCGACAGCGAAGTGCCCAGCGCACAGCACGCCTCAGTAAACCCTTGTTAAGGGAACCTGGGGTTGTTCCCCTTGACTTGGTCCTAAGCCTGGAAAGAGAGAAAAAGCGCAATGGGGTCTGTCCACTCTCGGCCCGAGCCACCTGCTGAGCTGAGGAACCTACCCCAGTGTCTGGTTTTTAGTCAGTCTCTCCATTAGGGGCAGGGCTAGCAGAAAGTTGAATCAGTGTATCTGTGTTCCCCACATAGCTCCTTTCCGGGGTGCTTCCTCTTTGTGTGGTGAAGCTGCACCTCGGGGTCCAACTCCCAACTGCACCATTTCAAGGCTTTCGGACCCTGAGCAAGTTTCTTAACCTCTGTGCCTCGGCTTCCCCATTTGAAAAGAAAAAACAACAATGACTATTATGTTCTATGGATGAAGTGAGTTAATGCACGTGGTGGATCACAACAGTGCCTGGCACAGAGGAAGCGCTTAATACATGAAGAGCGATTACTACGATAGTGGTTGTTATTGTGAAGGAGCGAATCTAGGCACTCCACCCCCCTGCCCCAACGCCTAGGCACATACCACACCCCCAGTCACCACCTGCAAGTCACCGTCACCGACATCAGGGTCCTCTGCCAAAGTTTTACAAGCCACTGTCCCATTGGCTGTTAGCTCTTTTGTTCCTTCTAATCATTCTGTGAAGCAAACAGGAAAGCTGTTTTCGTTGGCACCATTTTACAGATGAGAGGTTTGGGCTTCCACAAGCGCTCACGAAGACGAAGACCCCCCCACCACCACCACGTTAATAAGCGACCGACTTGAAGTTGTGCCTTCCACAGCAGAGTTCATGTTCCTTCAACCACACTCCTGCATCTACATCGGGACCCCCAGTGTTCTGAGATAATAATCTGGCCAAATCTTGACTAGGACCATTTGAAAAAAAAAATTTCTAAGAAAAATATTTCTTTTACTGGTTGGATGGCATGACCCTGCGCTTCGGTGCTGCCTCCATGTATACCCTACCCTTGGCACCTATAGGTTTTTTGGTAATAATGAGTGATTAAAAGGTTATTTTATTTTGAGAAATGTTTTTATGGAGTATCTACCTCCAGTTTGAGAGACTAGGCTGTGCCCTAAGCAGTGACCCAGCATTTTCCAGTGCAGGAAGCCACATCCCCGGTGCATCTCATGGACCGGGTTGCACACCTAGATGCTGGCTAAAGCCAACCCAGTAAGAACCAGGGAAAAAGATTTGCTTCACTGAATATTAAGAGCTCTGTGACCCTCTGGCCCTGCAGTTTCAGCCAAAGCTGATAGCAGAAGTCTTCCTAAGTCAAGATCCTTGACACCAGGTTTATTTTTGAAGGCGGCCAGGTAGAAAACAACAGCAAATAGATAAGGAGTCAAGTGAAAATAATCCACATTCATGACTACGGAAGCCTTCTCTTATGAAACATCATCAACAGGCTTGAATGAATTTCACGCTAAGACCAAGAGCAAAGTAGCCATTTGCAACAAGAAGACACCCCTTTCCCTTTTTATAGTCTCAATTTTAACTAGGCTGGTATTACAGCGACGACCGCTTATCAATAGTTTCTTATGCGCCAAGCACAGTGCGAATTGCTAGATATAAAATCGCATCCGATCTTTGTAACAACCAAATAGGCATATTATTTCTGATTAGCCCAAATCGATGTGCCTCAATTCACCACTATCTTCCAAAAGGAGAGCAACGGGAAAAATATGTTTTATGTGGAAAAGGTACAAGTTCATGTGAGGAATTAAAGGACATCCCCACCCATTTCATCTTGCATGCTCCACTCCCTAAAGAGCCTCCCACCCATGCTCTGGGTGAAACACCCACAGCCTAATCACCTTTGTCTCCCACATTTTAATATTCATTATTATCCTAAAAGAGAATTGGTGTTCAGAATAATGATCTTGAAGAACCGCACAGCTCTCAATCATCAAAGGAAGACTCTAGTTTTAGACTGGCTAAGGGAGGAACAGTGCAGAAAGTTGGAATTTTATTGTACCTGAATTCTGTATGTGCACAAAGGTGATGCTGAGTTCAGAGAGGAGCCCTCTTCCATAATTACCAATTGTCATGGGTAGCTCTCGAAAAACATCAGTTGTCGAGACTGAGAAACCCTCTCTGCCTTCCCTCTCCAAAATTTGCAAATGCATCTAAATTATTATTTAACCATTGTTGAATCAAGCTTCAGGCAGTAATTAAAAACATTTTAGGGGCACCTGGGTGGCTCAGTTGGTTAAGCATCTAACTCTTAATTTCGACTCAGTCATGATCTCAGGGTCCTGGGATCAAGCCCCATGTCGGGCTCTGTGCTCAGCGGGAAGTCTGCTTCAGAATTCTCTCTCCCTCTCCCTCTGCCCTTCCCCCTGCTTCCTCTCTCTCTCTCTCTCTCAAATAAATCTTTTTAAAAAAATTCTAACATTCTGTCTTCCTTACTAGTGATAAAAAAGGAACTGTCAAGCATTACCACGTGCACACAAATCCTGAGAACAAATTGTACCTGGCAGAAAACTACTGTTTTGATTCTATTCCAAAGCTTATTCATTATCATCAACACAATTCAGCAGGTAATTTATTTCAGTTTTTCTTTTATAGGTCCTTGTTGATAAATAGCAATTTTCTTGGATACTACCAATGCTCCTAATGTTCCTAATATTATCGGGAACCATGAAAATAGGAATAAAAATGCTCTCAAGCTACACAGCTGCTGTGATTTTTAGCCTACGTTTCCTGGAATATAATATTGTTTGTTCTAAAATGCCAGAAAAATGAAGTAGAGTAAGCTGAGTGACTTAGAAGTAAAGATTCTCTATATAAAAATATTTGCAGTCTTTTCCTGCCCATAGAAATAAGTTGATTACAAAATTCACACATCATAGAACTGTTTACCATTGGAGAGAGAGAACCTCCATGGACAAGTTGGTGTCTATCCTGACAGAATGTTTTCCTGTGCTGATACTAACACTTATTTATTATATATGTTAATGAATTATATATGTGTATGTATGCACATTATATTTTTACCGAGATGAGATCATTCCACACATACTACTTTTCAGCTTGCTTTCTACATTCAACATGTCTTAGTGGTCTTTCCACGCAAATACATATAGCTTACGGTCTATTTAGGAGCTACATAGAATTCTATTGTAGAATGCTCCATAATTTATTCACCTAACCCTGTATTGATTAGTGGTTGGATCGCATACAGTATTTTCACTTTATAATTGATGTTTCTGTGCACAGGCCTGTGCACGTGGCTCTGTATGAGTGTTTCTGTAGCCAGATTCCCTAGAAGTGGAATTTCTAAGATAATGGTTAAGAAGATTTAAAATGTAGACATTTTCAAATGCTTTTCAGAGACGTGCACTCCCGCCAACGGCAACCTCCTTCATCCTCACCAACACTGGGTACTATTACTCTCTTTAGATTTTGCCTAATTGACCCGTGAAACTGTATATAGAAATCCCTTCTAATGGAAGTGGGAACTCACCTGGTGTGGTGATCACTTCACGGTATATACATCTGTCAAATCATCATGCTGTTTACCTTTAAAATTACATATGGCCATAACATCTCAATAAGCTTAGAAAAAAAGAAATTTAAAAAAAAAAGGAAATCTCTTCTAAGTGCCTTTTCTAGATGAGTGCCGCTTATGGGCAATGCCTGGACGGATTTCCAACAGCAAGTAAACATAAGCTGTGGGCTCAGCATCAAATTTGTGCAAGTCTGTCTGACGTGATTACATGTACATAGGGGAAATAGCCTTACTCCTGGCTTTGATTTTGGTCCTTACTTGTGTTTTTCCTTTGTCCCAATTTCCTCAATTGTATAATTTAACCTCTAGCACCTCAAAAGTACCAACAGGTATCGTATAGACAAACATCTCCAAGTAGAATGATTCCACTCCAGAGGATGCACGAGAAACTCTACAGGGTATAGAAAGAAAACATTAGAATCTTTCTTTAGATTTTTCTCAGAATCTCCTTAAGTTTTCTATTGTGAGTGTATTTTATGATTTACGTAATGTATCAATACAGCAGCCATTTCGGAGGAGTGAGCTAATTTTTTTTTTTTTTTTTTTTTTTTTTGCTGATTAAAGGTTTGGGATTTAAAACATTTGGAGACCACTCATATAAAAAGTAAAGCAATATATAGAAAAAGGAAGGAGGGAAAAAGGACACATGTGACACTTCCCAGGACTTGGAAAATATCACACGTTTAAGCAAGAAACATTTTTTTCAATGAGTTCTTTCAAACCACTATAAATCCTGTGATTATTTTAATCCAGCTTTATCATAACTTGATGTAAGCAGTGAAAATGACTTGACCGTTTAATGCAAACCAGTAATAGGTTCAATGTTTAAAAATCGAGTGGTTTGCTTTTTATTTTGTGCCCTTCTGTACTGTTTGTTTTTTTTTAACCAGATGTATGTGCTGTGTGTATACGTATTTAAATATAGGACTACAAAAAGATAGAACAAAAATGGGAAAATTGTTTAAATGAAAGATTCCATCGAGCAGCTAATTTGATTGGATTTTTAAAAATCACATAAAGTTGTTCTACTCTTTTAATTTTTGCTTTACATTGAGCTCATTAGTCAAGCCAAGCAAATCAATACAGCTACAGGATGAATGGGGCCAGAATGGATCTCCTGTCTCCATCACGACATCCTGAACTCTGTGCTTTTGTGGCTACTCTGGAGAGAGCACAAGCAGAGGTGTGACCCAGTGTGATATCATGTGATGTCATGTGATGTGACATGTTGTGATGATATGGTGCTGGTTCCATTGCAGGCATGATCACACGACTCCGCCACCCTGTGTCAACCAAGGCCAACAAGGTTCCCATCTCCGTGTCCTTGGGAAGTGGTATGGACGCACACCTGGGCTCTTAAACTCCATTTCTCATCCATTTCTGGTTAAAAAATTATATTTATATTTTATTTTTATTATATATATAAAATATGTAAT